AGAACACCCTAAACATATTAGAAATTTCAAACTCATTTCTCTTTGTAATTTGAGTTATAAGATTATAACTAAGTTTTTAGCTATTAGGATTAGGGAGTCCTTACCTTACCTAATTTCTCCTAACCTAACTAGTTTTGTGTCAGGGAGACAGGACATTGATAATGCCCTTATTATGTAATAGCTCCTGCATTCTTTTGCTAAATTAAAAGGAAAAAGTGGTTTTATGATCTTAAAAATTGATCTTAAGAAGGCTTATGATAATTTGAGATGAGAGTTCATTGTTAATACTTTTTAGAAAATTGGTCTACAGTCCAACTTAGTGAATCTTATTCATTATTGTATCTCTTCAATGTGTATGTCTATAAATTGGAATAACAATACTACTGAGCCTTTTAGACATGGTAGAGGCATTAGGCAGGGGACCCTATATGCCCCTATGTTTTTATTCTTTTCCTAGAAAGACTTGCTCACTTGATCCAGGATAGGATTACAGGGTAAGATTGGGTTCCCTTTTCCTTTAGTATCATTGGCCCTAAAATTTCTCACTTATTCTTTGCTAATGAGATTATTTGGGTGGCCAAAGCTAACCTACAACAAGCTAGTATAATCCGTAGTGTCCTAACTGAATTTGGTTTGGCCTCAAGCCTTTCTGTTAATAATGATAAATCATCCATTTTCTTCTCAAAAAATATTGACCCTATTGTAGTTCAGGGAATTAGCAATTGGCTTGGTATTAAAAGTTCTAGTAAATTTGGTAATTATTTAGGTATTCCTATTAAAAATCAGAAACCCGATAGGAAGGATTTTGCCTCAATTCTAGAGAAAATTAGGAAAAAGTTGGCCTTGTGGAAGATGAACACCTTATCCCTTGCTGGAATAGTTACTTTAGCTCAATCTTGCCTTTTATCTATCCTTTCCTACATCATGTAAAGAATGCTCATCCCTAATTCTATGTGTAAGGAAATCCATAACATTTGCAAAAAAAATTCATTTAGGGTTCTTTAGGGAAGAGAAAATGTCATCTAATTAACTGAGACAATATGTTAGCTTAAGAATAAAAGAGGTCTGGGTTTTAAGGATTTATCTCTATTAAATAAAACCTACATGATGAAACTTCTTTGAAGATTAGTTCAATCTCCCAATAAGTTGTGGGCCCAAGTAATGTATTCAAAGTATAATTTTAACATTGGTAATAATCCTTAGGTAACAACTTGAAGGCTTCTCATTTATCAAAAAATGTATCTGCTGTCTACGATACCTTTATCCAAGGTTTGGGTTGGATTGTTGGTGATGGGTGCTTAGCCCAATTCTGGAAGGAGAGATGGATCCTTTATGTCCAGAACCTATCTAACTTTGCTTTAAGGCCTGTCCTTGAGGAGGAGTTGGACACTTTAATTGCTCTTTTCTCTCAACAAGGAAGTTGGGACTAGCATAGGATTAGGAAATTATTCCTACCCCTATTTGTGATTCCATTGCTCAGATTTAGTCCCCTGATAAGAGGAGAGGCTAGTACATTGTCTTCTAGAATCTATAGAAAAATTACTTATTTTCCATTAAATTGCTTGTAACTTATACCATTTTCCTTATCACCATCCTAACTTAACTAATGATATTTTTAAAACTGTTTGGAATTAGGATGGGCCCCTAATTACCCTTTTTTTATGGAAGGTGGCTCATGGTAGACTTTTAGCTAATGAGGAAAGATGTAAGAGGAAAATGACTAGTTCTCCTCTTTTCAATGTTGGTTTGCTAGAAAAATCTGAAATTATTTTATTCTACCCAAAAAATGGGCTTCATTTTTAGTTTGGGTTTTTGTGATTGGCTTTTCTCCAATTTATCTAATCCTCATTATAACAATTTTCATAATTTATTTAATATTGTAATTTGGTATATTTGGAAGTAAAGAAATAATTCCATCTTTCAAAAGTCAGTTATTTCTCCTAGCTCCTTTTATCACAAAATTTGCTATGAATTTGAGTACTTGAATTCATGTTTGAGGGGCAAGGATAAATCAACTAAGCATCAGCAGGATGTCTAGATTTAGGATAGATGATATCTCTCACATGGGGCATCTAAAACTGAATACTGATGGAGCTGTGTCCCAGGTCCTTAAAAGTGCTGATTGTGGGGTCTAATAAGAGATAGTTAGGGACTGGTTATTGCTGGATTTCTATAAAGGCCTGAATCTATGCTCCCTTTGATACTGAATTTTAGGGATTACTTTTTGATATATAGTTAGTTCATTTGATAAACATTCCTGCTATTTGGATCGAATCAAACTCTAATAAAGCCTTGCAATTAGTGTTAAGTGTTCAAAGTTGTAACCATTTTTTTTTTCTGATTTCAACAATTAGGAATACTTTAAAGGGTATACCTTTTGTTTTTAGGCATATTTTAAGAGAAGAAAATAGGAGTGTTGATGTACTTGCCAAAATTGGCTTAAATTCTGCCCAAATTATTTCTTACTTTGATCAGGTCCCTCTTAGTTTACTTTCTTTTCTTAGTATGAACTCTTTAGAAGTTTGTTATTATAATTTTACACAGGTCGTCTTACGTTATCTAGACTGATTAGTCCTGTTCATTAGCAAAAAAAATATTAAATATTAAAATTACTTGATAACAATTCTAATTACTACTTCTATTTACTTGAAAGTATTAAATTATGTATATAAGTTTAAATAAAAATACATAAAAACAGTATAATAAAAACTAAAAATTAAATTTATATGATTATTGAAATTTAAAGAATTAATCATAGTTTATAATTAATATATATATATATATATATTATTTTTTATTTAAATAAATTTCTATTCAGACCAGTTTAGAGTATTTTTGTTATTAAATTTTGAAAAATAAAATAATATAATTTGAATGTACTCTCAATTAATTAAAATAAATCATAAATATAATTTTTATATTAAAATTTAATAATTTTTAATGATATAGTAATTATGATTACATGAGTATAACATTTAATGTATTTAAATTAAATTCTAAAATAGGACGTGCAATAAAACGGGCAAAAATACTTGTCTATTAATGTAGGATCAACAATGATATATACAAATATAAAATATCATGTGTTATGTTTTTATTCTCCATCAATGCACATGTTTCATGCAGTATGATATGTTAGCACGGAAAGTCGAAGTTTAACGATATTGAAAAATAATTTTTTATATTTAACTTGCGATAATTTTTATTTTGTTAAAAATAATTATTTGACGTAGGGAGATAATGAAACTGTTAACTATAATTACTTGCAAAGTTTCCATCCACAGAAAAGTAGATAAGACGTGCCACCGTTTCCTCTGATTCTGACTCCAAGTACCCCTTCCCATCCCAAGCTTCCCTCTTTACACATTTATAATTAGAAACTTGCTAATTAGTGCTATTCAAGTATTGACTAGGAAATTAAAAAGTTATTATTTATCTTTTGTTACATAATTTTTTTTATTAAAAAACATAGACATATATATTAAAATTATGAAAAAATATTCACAAATAATACTTTTAATTAAAAAATTATTTTAAAATTTTCCAACTATATATAAGTAAATTTGCCTTACAATTTTAAGCGATGAAAGAAAGTAAATAACCTACAAATCCTACCACGTTTATCTTGGTTTACCGAAGTCAGATAAATCATACCCTTTTAGGAAGAGAATATTATGTGAATGATAGCAATGTCCATATATCATTCAATAAAATGTTTTGGTGAAAAATGATCGTAGACTTGCATAATGTAACGTGTTTACTATCATTTCCATTAAAATATTCATACTTACAACACTTTTAAACGTTGCTTTTATATATATATATATATATATATATATATATATATATATTAATTTACTTTTATTAATAATTTTTAAGATAATTAAATAAAAATAAATATAGATGCATTCTCAAAATATAAAAAAAAATCTAATTCGCTATTCTGATTTTTTTATTTTAAAATTAATTCCACAGTGGACAGTGTAACTTCTTTATTTCCGAATAGATATATAAAGATGTTATTAAAAGAAAAACAACAATGGCGGTGCCAAACTATAAACAGGAAAAAAGAAAAAAGTTCCTATGATTATTTTAAGGTCAATCTCTGTAGGTAGGAGAGAATAGGGCACTTGGCATAATTGGTCTATGAAGTGTGGAACCAAATCGGTGACACTTGTGACTTCTTTTCATTATTCTTTTTCAGTTTTTATAAACCCAAGTGCACGCTGATTTTTGTGGCCAGACCCATCTCATTGATTCACTTATTTACATTTCTAAAGTCTAGAAGCACCTGTTTTACATTTTAAATATTTTTTCTAATATTCTATAAATACTTTAAATCAAATTAAAGAACTTGTTAATTAATATATTCAAATATTAGTTAAAAATATTTACTTCTAATTCTTTAATTAGCGCTAATTAGCATTCATGCTTAAAAATTATTTTTTATTTTGAAGAATGATATATACAAAAATTAAAGTTTAAAATAAAAAAACAGATAACATTATATGCTTAAATAATAGAATTACTTTTCTTTTACACTTTGAGAGTCTATATACAGTTTGAGAGAAAAAAATAAATTTAATATAAATATAAAAATTAAGTAAAAAAAAAAAGAATTTATTTTTAACAATTTAACCAAGCAGCAGAGGATAAAGGAAAGTGATCCACAGACACTGACACGTTGAAAGGAAGTGGAGATTTTTGTAAAATGGATTTTGAGTTCACCGTCTTGACCCACAAAACAGGGGTCGCTTTAACCGCCAGTTTCCAAACAATCTATGGGGGCGGGAAGGGAACTGCACCAAAAACCCTGCTTTTGCTTTTTCTTTTCTTTCCGCTAATTTACACCACTCTTATTACACAAAACATTACCACAATACCATGCCACATGCCCCTAGTTTTCAACCCTTTAATATTCTCTCTCTCTCTCTATAAATATATATTACAACTATCATCTCCAACATTTTCATCTTATCTGCCTTTCACATACTTTTGCACTGTTGTCTCTAAATATCAATTCACTCTTCTTCAACCTTACTTAACTATTTCATTCCATCACTTGAAGCAAAATTGTGTTCATGTGAAGGACTATATATAGGCTTATTGAGGAGTCACATAGAAGGCTTCGTTTGGTTAATTCACATTTTTAAAGGACTAAAATGGAGGCAAGTTTGGTGGATCAGGGTAGAGAAAGAGTTGGGCATGTTAACAAAGTTGGTTATGTGAGAAGGGTCATTGCCAAGAAGAGGAAACCTTATCGCAGGGTTAAGAGGCCAGTTTTGACCGTTCCAAAGGCACTTAGGGAGCTATTTGATTCATGCAGAGAAACCTTCCGAGGCCCGGCTGGCACTGTTCCTTCACCACAACATGTTCAGAAAATGTGCAACATCCTTGGTATGATTAATCGTTTGGTTATTTGATGAGAAAAATTTTAGTGTCTCCTCTGATCTATTTAGTCGCATGCTTATCCAAGTTTTGGGGTCAGTTTTTAGATATGCTTGGATTCTTTGGTGATTTTCGTTGCATGTTGTGGCTGTGCATTTTACCTCAACTTCCCCGAATTTCATTGCATAAGATTACAAGCTAGATGGTCCCCAACTAGTTGTCTTTCCGTTGTAGGTGTTTTGTTTTTAAATTCATTGTTTAATTTTGTTTTTGTTTCCTTCCAAAATGAAGGAATTAATAATATCAATTCAGCTATATTTTTCGTGCATATATTTGCGTCTTAAAGGTCTATAGAATTGAGTGTTTCATTCCCTTAGGCTAGTTTGAAAACTATAGATCAGTTTCCTTCCTTCTATAAGTGCATAAATAATATGAACTTATATTCTATAAGTAATGTGGATTTACAATTTATTTTCTCTTAATTAGAATTTGCGTACTTATGATTAATCTCTGGTTGCCTATATATTTTGAAGTGTTGTTCTGATTCTTTAATACAATTCAGATAACATGAAGCCAGAAGATGTGGGTCTAAGTAGAGATCTGCAATTTTTCAAGCCTGGAAATATAATCAAACAGAACCAAAGGGTCACATACACAACCGTGTACAAGTGTGACGATTTCTCGGTAAGTGTTGCAAGCTCTAATTGATTTTATTATCATTGCACACTAGTCACTACTCCACAATGCAAATATTGCTAGTGTGATTAATTATTATGTGCATTTTTTCCCCTTTTGTATATGTACAGCTCTGCATCTTTTTCCTACCTGAAAGAGGAGTCATTCCTCTTCATAACCACCCGGGCATGACTGTTTTCAGCAAGCTTCTATTAGGAGTAATGCACATTAAATCCTACGATTGGGTTGATCCTGAATCCTCTGACAACACGTTGCAGCAACCATCTAAATGTGGGTTATCTCTCTTTTATCACTTTAAGAATGACAGTTAATTGATGGGGTGTGTGTACTTAGTTTATGAAGGGTCTTGCAAACTAGTCCTAATTAAAAGAAAACTTTTTTTTTTATTACGAATCACTCTGAGATACATTAAATATTATATAATATTTTGTAATGAAATAATTTACATTTTAATATTTTAACTTTAGTATCGATTAGCATTTTTTGTTTTTGAAAGTTGACCCACAGAGATTATGATTTTGCAGTGAGATTGGCGAAATTAAAAGCTGATAAGGTGTTCACAGCACCGTGTGACACTTCTGTGCTGTATCCAACGACAGGAGGCAACATCCATGAATTCACAGCCATAACTCCATGTGCTGTGCTTGATGTCATTGGACCTCCTTATTCCAAAGAAGATGGCCGAGACTGTTCCTACTACAGAGATCACCCTTATGCTTCTTTTCCTAGTAAGCAACATTCTCTCTTTGTACACAACCATTCTATCAGCAACTGTTACCAGAACACATTTATATTTTTTCCTAGTATGTCATTTTGCTATGTTTTCATAACAATAATTTTTTTGTTTTTGTTACAGTCAACCATGGTGTTCAAATGTTTCCTTTACTTATAATTCTTCATTCCTTTTTCAAGTTTCACCTATGCAGATTCTTATATCAACATACTGATTCAATTATTAAGTGGACTCAATATTGAATATGAGAAAGATAAAAGTGTCCTGAATATACATGGTTAAGTTTTGATTTATATTTATTTGTAGAGAATTTTTAAACTATTATTTTTATTATATCACATCATTTATCATTTTTTTATCTCTTACAAATATATAGCCTTCATAAGCGAACAACAACCGTTTTCCAATGTGCATGCACAGTACGTTCTTACAGTTATATTATTTCAATATCTAAAAATTGATATTATGTATATGACATTTAAAAATTTACAAATAATATTTATACAGATGTATTATTTAATATCAAAATTTGATCCTGTGTATAATATACACACACGATTATCTTTATATTTTTAAATCTTTTTCTATATACATATCTTTAAAATATTTGTCAAAATAAAAAATACCATAAAAAATCTCAGTTCATGGTAAAAGAAAAAATATTTTTCCATATAGGTATAAAGTCTGGTGACTTCATTTGGGCATCAGGATCATATTTGATGAGGTGGCACCTCCACTTGTCTACTTTATTTAAGTTTTAAATTTTTTGGTCAGGACTTTATTTGAGTGTCTGAGGAGGTACAATTGTACATTATTGTTGTGTGTCTCTGACCATTAATGAATGGTTTATCCTGCAGATGAAAGGATGGGTGAGGTGAAAGAGGAAAAAGATAGTTACGCGTGGTTGGAAGTAATTGAGATGCCAGAGAATTCTCAAATGGATGGCATTGAGTATCTGGGTCCTCCCATTACTGAGACAACCTTTTAGTTTCAATCAAACATGTATTCTACTGTGTACTAACTCTCTACCCACATAATATACAGAAAATTTCCAACACGAAACCTTTGTGTCCATATTCAAGGAATGAATGCACGTGTTGGCTTTTTGTTCTTTAGTGTGCTTAAATATTTCGTTGAAAGTGTAGCTATAATAATTCCTTCATTTTTGCTTGTTGGAATATACAACATTATGAGACTCATTGTCAGGTAAAGGAAAACCATGGGCTTGGGTTTGTTCATATGTCAATCACTTCGATTTATGATATATCATTTGGTTTGGTTACAGTTTGTAAAGACCAACTTTATTGAATAAAGCGATGAATTAGCTTGACTGTCTTGTACGCATAGGAAAACCATTCATAGGGACAAGGGGGCAACACTTTTGGAGATAGGGTCAAATTTATGCTTTTTTCTCTAGATTTTTTGGGAAGATAATGCTATTATTAATTACAACATTTAATAAAATAATGAATTATTCCTTTTATAATAATTCATTAATGTTACCCTTTTGTTTTTATATTTTAATTATATAATGTCAGTCTCTTAATTTTAATTATTCGTATTTATTTTTATAATTTTAAATCTTATTTAATGTATAATAAATATATTAATAAAGTATAACGTTATATAGATTAGTGCTGTCTCAACCTTCTTGGTTAAATATCTAGATCACGATATCTCGTCGGGTCAACTTTAATTAAAAAAATCTCAACACCGGTTTGAAGAACACGTTTTTTTTTATAAATATTTTAAATTATTGATTAAAATTTATTAAAATTATAAAAATATAAAATAATAATTAAATTTAAAATAAATTTTAGTTAATAATAAAAAAATGCAGCTCTTAACTTTTTTTGAAGATTAATCAATGTCTGGATAATATTTATAGACTTAAAATTATCTTCACATTTTTACAGTAAAAATTATCTTCACCCTTTTTTAAACCTATTTATTTATTTTCTTATTTTTCTAACATGATTTATTATATTTTATTTTATCTGAAATAGAAAAATGATTGTTGATTAGTCTAAGAAAAATGATACAAGCAGCTATGTACATCTGGCTGGTAAGTTATAATAGATATAGGAAAAAAGAGAGAACAGAAAACCTAACATAAACAACCTAACTACAAACAAAATGTCAAAACTGATAAGATCCTTCCTCAAGTTGGGACATGGATATCATGAAGAACCAAAAAAGAGCGGAAGGAACTTAAATGGAGAGGTTTAATGAACATACAGCAAATAATTGGGCAGAAGATGGAACCAGCAACAGATGAATGAGCCCAGATTGAAGTTTTAGTGGTGAAATTCGAATAATCTTCCTTAGCTGAAGCACAAAATGACCAAGGGATGATTATTCTTGATACTATATTATATGAAGAAAATTGATTGATTAATCTGGATAAAATGATACAGATAGCTGTGTATATATAGCTGATAAAACAAAAGGTAAAAACCAATAAGATACTTATCTTCCCATATTTTACACTTAAAAAATGAGATATATAATCTTTATTTCGATTTGTTGTACTCAGACTATCTCTTTTATATTTTAATGGAAATAAAACATGCCAAGTATTATCGTTGGAAACACATACCATCTGGTGAATGCAAAAATAAAAATGAGATAAGATAAGATGGAGAAAACCTCTTATTTTATTTTAGTTTTGATGTATGTTAAAATAATAAATTAAATATATATAATATCTTATTTTATCTATTTTTAATACAATTTCTTCACGTGATAAAATTTATAATAAAGAGGAAGAAGATATGATAAACTCATGTAATAAACTTACTATATATATCATGTTGATTAAATAAATGTTAGAAATAAAATAATATGTAAAAATATTTTTCATTATATTTTTTATTTTGTTCACTAAATAAGTCTTTAAGACCACTTTAATATTTATTTAGCCTTAAAATTAACTTTAAGATTATATAATTTTAAATTAATAAAAATGATTTATTATATTTTTATATAAAATTTCTTTTAAACTTTTTACAATGTAAAGTTGCTGACCAAATTATCAACCAATTTTATTTAATATTTCTTTTTCTATCCTAAATAGCAAGGTATAAGTTTTTTATTCAATAAACATATCATTTAATATTTTTTTTTTCTCAAAGTGCATGCTAAACTATGACGATAGCTCCTTCATTATCTTAAGAGAATAACAATGTAAAATAAAAATTAAAAAAAAGTGACTATCATAGATTATCACTCACCCCTCACCACCTTTAGATGGTTCATTAATCAAGCGAAGAAAGTCAACTTGATGCTCTTGAATCAATCTAATAAGATGAAGATTTGGTTTGCCAAGCTCTTGCAACATAGACTACAAGAACAACAAAATTTAGGGAATTAGGAAGCAGAGAGTAAATAAACAGAACATAAACTATCAAGTTGTAGAAGAAAATAAGAAAACCTGCAATATTTGTGGATTAGTGTGCATCATAACCTGCAAGGCTTGGAACAAACACAGAAGCACAAAATTAAAAAATCTAACTTAGATAAGTCTTGCAAATACAAAATTAAGTGGTAGGTAAGAGATAAAGATAATACATGTCGAGTGTTGTGAAAAAAATCTTAAGTGCTGAAACCAGCAACGCCAAAACCAGCATTAGGAAGGCCTTGTTCCACAATATTAAGTGCACAAAAATATATCTAATTCTCTATGACTTTGCTTTAGATAAATGAAGTTTCACTATCTTAAATTGTTGGAACTTCAAAATTATTCTTACGTGTTGGAATTTGGTACATTGTATTATTGTTGGAGACTTAAAAATTAAATATATTGCACAAACTCACACTTATTGCATATCATAAGATTCCATATCTGCTCAAGCCCTTGTGCCCACTTCCTCTTGAGGACACCAATGATTATTAGTTCACAAAAAATCTTACTTGTTCTCCTAAGCCCTTATTATTAATTCTTGAAAGGCTTTTGTGCCTACTTCATCCCTTAACTTCTTGTGCTTATTGCTTTTTAATGGCTAATAAGCTTGCCATATCTCATAGGTCTTGCACTTTCTCATCTCATAAACATTTATCTATGTTATTTATCATAGGTTATCATATTTTTTTAATCTCATAGGCCTTTATGCTCACTGTATCTCATAGGCTCCCATAGCTACTTACCTCATAGCCTCATGTTCATACTTATTCACTTTAGAAGACCATGCACCTACTTCATCTAATAGACGTTAATGCCAACATTATCTCAAGCTCAAGCAGTCAACACGCTCAGACCCTTTCAACAAGAATGAGAGTGCTTCGAGCCCATACACGATCACACTCATCTGTGGCAAGCCTAATTAATAAAGAGCTTTTAGTATTTTCAAATCCTACTAAAGAGAGACTTCAGGCATTAAATTTATCATCTTATCTTTTGTTCTTCGATACACCTTTGAACTCATCTCTCTTGCACAATATATTTGGCATATTCTTAACGGAACTTGGAATTTTGAGCAACCATACTTGAAGACTAGAACTCATTTTATTCTAGTTTATTTTTCTCTATGGTTTTATTTATGATTGTTTTAGTTTTTCTCTTTAGCATGAGTAATCAAGTGCATAGCTAGGGCTATGGGAATACTCATTCATAAATTTATGGAATTTTGAAGTTTGAATTTGTGTTTGATTTTCGTATGTGATTAGTGTTTATCTTATTACGTATAATTATATAATCCTAATTAATTATATCGCCTGACGATCGTGCTTCAATTAGTTAATAGATCTATAGGATAAAATAAAACAAATAATTAGATGGAACAAATCAATCTCTCTTCCAATCATTATTAAATTAACAAGTTCATAGGTGATCTATGCTTTCTTGAATTATATCTTGCGTGACCATTGTGGATGTTAGTTTAGAGGAAAAAAATGTTAATATTTCATGACCATTGAGTATTGATAGTAATTGGATGAATTATTAGTAATCATAAGAAAGTCGAATTTAGAATTAAACAGAAAAATAACATAAATGATTCAATAAGAAAATTCATATACCCTAGGTTCCTCTCTTATAAGTTTAACCAAGATGTGCATTGTGTTTCTTGTTCTAATTTTTACAATTGATTTTATAATTAAATTTCTTTTTAATTTAATCTCATATCCTTTAAGCTCAAACAATTGAATTATAAAATTCTTAGTAATTGAAAAAAAATCCTTGTGGGACAATAATTTAAGAACTTTTTATTACTTCTCGACGGGTACACTTGCCCACAGAACAAGAACATAGAAATAAAAAAAATATTCTTATGGCAAATGGGACTAGAATACATGAAAGAAACAATGAAGCTATTGAAAGAGACAATGGAGAAACAAGTTGCCTCCTTGTCTAATTTAGCAAATGTGAAGGTAGTTATCAATTTAAAATTTGATCAATCAACCGCTATAAATAGAGATTCAACAAACTATAGCGAGGACAGTCAAATTGTGCTCAATTTGCAGAATAACAATGGTTTTGTCTAAACTTGATTTTCTAAATTAAATTTTCCAAAATTCAATGGTGAAAATCATATGGTTGGATCTACAAGTGCAACTGATTCTTTCACCTAACGAAATTGAAGAAGAGTTTGAGTATAGCCTCAATTCATTTGAAAGGTAAGGCTCTTGACTAGTTTCAAGGATACATAATGACTTATCCAAAAGCTAGTTGAGAAAATTTTCAGTTGATGTGGTTTCTCAGTTTAGTCCTAATATCTATGAAAACTTAGTGGGACAACCAACAAAACCAAAACAAACTACTATGGTAAAAATATAAAGGCATATCAAGAACAATTAGAAACATTAATGGCCAAAATTAGTCGTTTACCTAGAGATTTTTTTGTGCAATTTTTCATTAGTGAGTTGAGGGGTGCAATCAAGAATAAAGTAACAATATTCAAACCAAATATCTTAACCAAGACCATTGGGTTAACACTACTACAAGAAGGGAAAATAGAGGTCATTCTTAAATAAGCCAAAGGGGTACATAATAACAATGGCAATATCATTAATCCTCCAACCAATAGAAAATTTGATGATTACTTGCCTCTTAGGAGAATTTGTACCACTGAAATGCAAGAAAAATAAACCAAAAAAACTATGCTATTATTGCAATGAGAAGTACGAGTCTAGTTTCAAATGTAAAAGGAAACAAATTTATCTTTTAGAAG